TAAAGGTACAATTCCCAATGAGAAATGTAATTGTGTTGTGTACCTACAATGTACCAATAAAAGAATTTAATACAAAAAAAAAAAGACAATGTATGTTCAAAGTCTTTTCATTTATCATTCATTTGTTCATTAATTTATTTGGGGATTAAATTTTAATTTCATAACAGTTCTTCATGTGGAAATACTGGCCTTTATAACTCTACCCCCAGAGTTTGCTGTTCCTTCTTAAACAGGAAATAAACTCTTAAGTGACACAACACAGCACGTAATGAAAGATTCATGTTAAACAAGTTTTATAAAAACAGGAGAATTTGCTTCATATAAATGGGAAAATTTCTAAATGTTTCAATATCTTAAAAAATATTTAACACTTAAACTGTTTTTAGTAGGCTTTCGTCCTAAAGGTCATTATTAAAAATACTGGCCACCATGGTGTTATATATTTTTTCATATTATTCATATATTTTTTTCATATTTTTTATATAACTGACCTGGGTGTAGACAAATCTCTTTTAATAATAGAGTTTATATTAAGGATGGTCTTTAAAAGTATCAAAACAACAAGAACATCACTATATGAACACAACTGAGCAAGAGACTTAATATTTTCTTTATCTAGTTAAAACCAAAATCCAGGGCTGGGGATTTAGCTCAGTGGTACCACTGCTGCCTGCCTTGCAAGTGCAAGGTCCTGAGTTCAATCTCTGTACCAAAAAACCCACCAAAATTCAGTTTGCATTTAAAATAATCATATGACCTGGAATTCTAGGTCAGTTTAATCAAGTAATTACAATTAGGTTACATGGATTTCTAGACATTGTACAGTACCTATACTAGTTTTGTACTGCTGCTTCTCCATGAGCTAAAATCAAGGTTGGCAGGGCTGTGTTCCTTTCTGGAGGTTCTACAATAATCCCATTTTCTTTTTCCAGCCTCTCCAGGGGGCCTGTATTTCCAAGATCATGATCCTCTTCCTCTATCTTCAAAGCCAGCAGCAGCTAGCATCCTCCCAATCTCTTTCTGAGCTCGACACTTCTGCCTTCCTCTTCCACTGTGAAAGACTCCTGTGATTGCATTGGGACTATCAGGACAACCTCCATAATTTAAGGTCAGCTGACTTCCAATAACCTAATATATTCACAGGCTTCATGGGCCAAGGTGGGGGCATCTTTTGGTGGGGGGCATTATTCTGTCTCAGATTTATATCTACACCTGTATTGTTCAGTTCAGGTCAATTTTACCAGAGTTCATTAAAGTCCTCTAATAACATTACCATTATTTGGAATAAAATGTAAGATTTTCTTAAAGGCTTAAAATTTGAATTAGATTATCACATCTGCTTTACAACAAAGACTCCTTTAAATTCATGCTTGTACAAATTGCACATTAACCAACTACTTTGACAATGTATTCTCAAGTTCATCATAACTCAATAATACACACGAACAAAAGCATTCAATTCTTATAAGACAATGTAACATATATAGCTTATTATATGTATTAAATGTTATGGGAACAGTTTTTGTTAATCTAAGTTTTTGTTAATTTCAAATTACAAGAAAATATTCATAAGAAAGTATTATTTCACTGACACTGAATTCACACACAAATTTTTCAGGAAGAACAATACCAGAAGAATAGTTTTTAGCACTGGCATGGATTTTGAAGATACCATGCCTTGTTTTAGGCCTGTCATAAAAGAAAGTGGGCACAAAGATCTCGACCCAGTCTGCCTGAGGTCACACTGCTCATGTGAGACACAGCTGTCACCTTAGTGTGCACTGCCACAGTTAAGACACTGCACTCCTTACACAAAATATAGGGTCAAATATGACCATCACTATATCACATTGTAAATCAATAGATTTACTAACTTAAACTTCAAAAGACTGCAGAAGCAGTAATTTATCATTCTGTCCTGTGACAATACATGTACTAAGCCAAGGAGCCAATCCTACTTATATGCTATGTAAATTATACAAAACTTATAAAGTGCCACATAAGAAGAAACGGGCAGAAAGGAGGAGCTAAACTGACAACAAAATAAAGAATGATGAGTCTAAACTAATACTGCAGATAAATTCCCCAAAGATGAAGAAAATTTAAAATATGACAAATGTCACTCTGATTTTTAAACTGATTTCCTCCAAATATTAAATATATATATATATATATATATATATGAGAGAGAGAGAGTTTCTCCCGTGTAATAAGATTGAATTCCATTTTTGAAAGTTATGGGAGAAGCCTGTTGAGTTGTCAATAAAGCTTTATTTTCTTGGTACCTTAAATGAGAATTAAAATCAACTTACTTGATGTAATAGGGCACTTTATTATGTGAGATGGATCTCTGCCATGGCAGCTGGACTGAAGCTGCAGAAACAAAGGGAGATTATTGGAAATACTGGTAACTCAAAAGCCTTACACCTTAATGCAAAACAACTGAACACATTTTATAGCAAATCCAATGAGAACTGTTCTGAGTTTTGAGCTGGACTCCAATAATTATGAAATGCATGAGACCAAACACCATGGCTTGAAATATTCATCTAAAGGTAGGAAAGAAACAACCCAGGTTCAGTTTCTTAGACAATTCTAACAAACTGAACTTGTTGATACATATACTTCTAAAAAACCAATTTATGAACACTACAATTTAAAACTTTGTGACATCTGGAAATGTACTTTGTATATATTTTATATCCAGATTAAAAAAATTAGATTTCTCAAGACTGGATTTTCCAGATCACTAATAATATTCTTTACTTGGCATCATGTTCACAAGGAAAAGCTATTGAGTACAGATGGCATTTATATGAATCCAGTTATGTGAAATTTAAAAAAGGAAAAATAAAAATAGGCAAAGGCAATTTAAGTTTAAAGAACTAAAGCAATCATCTGGGATGAAGAATTTCAGATACTTATTTTCATTTGAGATACACAAAAAGTAGTTTCCTACTTTGTGGCAGAAATTACTATGATTGAGACTTTCTTTTTAATTGAAGTATGTATTTTTTACAACTCTAGTCACTTCTTATTTTAAAAAATTATGTTGTTTCTTCATTAAGCCAATTATTTTAAGACTTATTTAAGAAAAGTTGCACATATGAATAAAGAGCTATGAGAGAATTTTGCTACAAATAAATAAATCAAATAAAATTGCAAATATCACTAGACCTTCATGTTATCAGTTGTCACTAATGACTTTTTTCTGAATTTCAGGTTATGTTGGTATCTTACAAATACATGGCATTCTAAACTTCACCAAGCATTTTCAGATTTATCTTTTGCTTCAAAAGCCAGCAGGACACACACATTCAAGTTCCATTTGACAGATAAGGAACTAAATACCCAGAGATCAAATAAGTTTCCAAAGAGCACAGCTAGTAAACAGACGTTGGAGTTCCAATGTGATCCCGGGTCTTCTGGATACTAGTTCAGCAAGTTGCCTGGTCAACAGCTCTCCCTGTCTTTCTGAAATGCAAGCACTCCTTTCTCCATCTGTGTCAATGAACGGTATGAAAAGGAGATGAAAATGCAGAACTGGGTATATTAAATTTCTCTTTACAGCCAACCTCATTTCAGTGCTGGCACCAGGTTAATAGGTCAGTTTTTATTTTGTGCCTAACTAAACAGGCTGCTTTCATAACCATGGCTACAGTCCAGGAAACATAATAAACCCAAAGGTTCTAAGCCGCAAGGGATAATAATTACTACATTTACTAATTGGGATTTTGTTTACACTTCTCCATTCATTTTAATAATTCTTTTGATTTGAACAACTTTAACCTACTTGGACTGCCAGTGCTAGACAATAAAAGGCCATGTGCTTCAGTTTCCCAAAGTAGGAGTGAATTTCACAATATTTCATGTCTTAAATAGCACAAGTTAGATTTCTACAATGAAAGAGTGATTGCTAAGAGAAAAGGAGGCTTTTCATCAATATTAACCAAGGATCTTTAGAACTGTAAAGAGATTCTCAAATCTTCTGAAAGTTTCTCTTTACTTTGGTCTTAATATATAGCTTTACATTCTACAAAATTAAGAAATCTAGAGTACTTCATACCTAATGAGTATACTGAAAACCTTTGTACTTCGTCATCAAGTTTGATGGTATCCAAACTTGAAAAAGTATCCTGGAAGCTGGATGTGGTGACATATATCTGTAATCTCAACAATCTGGGAGGCTGAGACAGGATGATGGAAAGTTTGAGCCCAGCTTGAGCAATTTAGTGACTTAATGAGACCTTATCTCAAATTAAAAAATAAAAAGTGTTGGGGATGTAGCTCAATGCAGAAGTCTGAGGTTCAATCCCCAGTAACACAATCAATAGATCAATCAATCAACCAATGAACAAAATGTGCCCTGGTCCAGTAGAGAGTATTCAAGGAAGGATTACATGTCTCTTAAAGATAGACTACCTTAGGGCTGGGGATTTAGCTCAGTGGTTCCACTGCCTGCCCTGCAAGCACAAGGACTCAAGTTCAATTCCCCCAAAAAAAAAAAAAAAAAAATAAACTACCTTAGGCTTCAGGTTTGGGAAGCTGATTGGAAGTGTGTGTGCGTGTGCGTGTGTGTGTGTGTGTGTGTGTGTACGATTGATTAGGACCTATGAAATTATGAAAGGAAAGCCTGCTTTTAATTCAGGTAAAGCAGTTTATCAACAGTTACAAAAAGATTAAGAGAAAGTACAAATGGGCCGGGGATTTAGCTCAGTGGTTTCACCGCCTGCTGCGCAAGTGCAAGGACCCGAGTTCGATCCCCAATACCAAAAAAACAAAAACACAAAAACAAAACAAAAAAAAGAGAGAAAGTACAAATGCAATCAGTTTAGTTAGGAGATACGGTTTATGCTTCAGTTTTCTCTATGGTTGTAGATGCAAAGAAGTTGTCAAAATTGAGAAATACAGTTTGGCTTGTTTTCAACTTTACTTAAATTAAATAAATTACTTTTTTACATATATTTGACAAAGGAAATGAAAGGAAAATAATTAATATTTACTTAAAGCTTTTGTGCCAAGAACTGGGCTAGGACCTTTGTGTAAGTTGTTGATATGCTTTTCTTTTAATTTTCAAGGCAATCAGAGGAAATAGGTTTATGGTATTTTAAGACAAATTAACTTTCAGAAATTCACAGCTCTGGTAAAAGGCACAATGAATATTTAAACTCAATCTTGGTCACTCTAAATCCTATATTCTTTAGTGTCCTTGGCTGTGAATAATAAATAAAATAGGAGCTCAAATTATTTATTTAAGGTCTCATGAACTGTACATAAAATTTAAAATTCCAGTTGGAGAATATATGCTTTGACTAAGCATGCAATATGTGTCCAGAAGAAAAACTTAAGTATGATTGCAGTTCAGCCTAATAAGCTAAAATCTTCTCATTCAAACATTTGTGGAGAAGTTTTTAACTATAAAAGCTGCAGGTAAATTTTAAACTAATGAGCACTTTTTATGGAGAAAAAGTAATTTAGAATCTTAAAAATGAAAATGATATTTTGTATGAAAAAGTTAACCTTTGCATATGAAAAAACAATGAGGATATACCACAGTAGGTATAACAAATGGTCAAATGAAAAAACACATCTAAGGATAATTTCATTTTGGTTGCCTTTCATAGATGTATCAATTATCATCATACTATAACAAATAAGCAGTAAAAAATATTTTCATTAATGTTAATACCTCCTCTTATACACTTATCTACTATAGTACACATATCTTTGGCAAAGACTGGTTGAGTGAAAGTAAAAGAATATACTAATTCATTCAATCAGTGATAATTGGTCATGTTTGCTGGTACTTACTAGAGAGAAAATGCTGGGATGATGGTCCAAAATCTCTGTGAGCTTCTTGAAGCTGTTTAAGGCGATCATCCACAGAAACCTGCACACACACGCACAAGACAGATGAAATGATTTGATTTCAAGAAAATGACTTTAATATCTTTTATTTAGGCATTATAATAAGTGATGCTATTGCCTCAGACATTACTGCTTGGATAGACTTCTCGAGCACTAGTATCAAAGTCAAAGTATGAAATCAACTTCTAATACCACATAAGAATAAATAATGTCAGATACTCTCCTCAGAAGTTTATATGAATTAACTCTTTTAATACTCACAATAACTGTATTGGCTAAGCACTATTATTGTTATCATTTTACAGACAAAGGAACTGAGACACAAAGAGAGTCCCACAGCCATTAAACTAGTACACGGCAGCACTAGTATTCATACCCTGGCGGTCTGGTGACAGAATCTATTCCCTAGCCATTACGCTTCTTCCTGTAGGTCAGTATGCTGCTTCTAAAGCACCTTATAGCAAAAAGTACTACAGACAGCAAATGAAAAGAAGCCTCGACTATACCAGGGGGGAAAAATGATGGATGGGTAAATAGGTAGGCAGATAGCTAGGTGGATGGATGGATGGATGGACAGACAGACAGACAGACTCAAATGATAAGACAGAAAATAGAGATAAGACAAGTGAGGGTGAAATGTCATTTTATTCTGAATTTGCCTTTGATCATCTCTATTTATTAAGATATGTATGTCAATGTACACCAGTAGATTAATATCCTCAATATTTGTTTGCACACATCCTATAGTTAGTTCACATTATAAAAATGCAGACTTGTTAAACTGTGAAACTAAATGCAAATCAGTAATAATTGCCCATGGCCTACTGACATTTCCATTTATTCCCTTATGCAATGCTCCTCAGCTGTTCCATTTAGATCAACAAGCTTATTTTCAGCTGCCTTTCAATGAGACTTCTGTCAGCTCTCCTTTCTCCTGGTTAGTAACTGAAATTGCATTAGAATGTACTTACTCATTAAGACAAAAAAATCCAAATGCCATACTTCCTGTTTGTGAGTAAAGAAAATGCTCTTCCTGAAATTTAACCAAGTTGCCTGCTAGCACAGATTTTTGTTATCTAACCTAAAACTATCAAGGAGCTCTAGTGGCTACCAGGATCATAGGTAAGAATGACAGAGAGGATGCTCTCCCTTCAATCCGTGGAGATAGTGATTACAAACTTCTAATCTCTGAGTATAACAATAACAGAAACAGAATGGGAAGTAAATCTTTGGAGACAGTAATAAGAGAAACAGAATAAAGTAAATTAGGAAGAACCACAGGAATCCTACACTTGATCTTAGCCAAAAGGCCAAGAAGCGATCCCACAGGAATCCTCACAAGATAGTGAATTAGAGAAATGGAGCAGAAGAAAAAAACAGAATAAAGACCAAACATTTCTGGAAGCACAAATGAATTTAATAGATTTTGTTTTACTAATCTCAGATTATTAACATTCTTTGCAAAGATAGAAAAAGCTGTCGCATACTGTACAGTCATTTCTTACCTCCTTAATTTCACTAAGAAAAGATGAGCTCTTGGGTGTTTTGCTATCTGAATATATGAAATGTGCTACATTGAAATTGCATATTTATCTTATTAAATAGTGTATTTTAGAGCCAAACTACAGAGAAAATGGTACGACTCTTTTTCAATCTTCTACTCAAATTAATCTGTTAATTTTCAGGGGAAATGCAATTATCCTAGCTCCTAGGAATGGGCCACTGTCTAGGACAAAGCTCTAAAGATTGTGCCATAAACCCTTGTTTGGCACACACAGTGGCTGGCAAGTGCTCGTACCCAGGAATGCAGAAAGCCGCCTGTGTTTTAGCTCTATGAAACCTGGAATCAGCAAGTAAGACCTAGAGTAAGGCCTTACTCACTACTGCATGAGAGCAGCTCAGTTCTAAGCACTAAAGTATCAACGTGCTATCTGGAAAAACAAAGCAAGATACCTAAAGAGCAACCAGTGTGATGAGAACTTTCATCATTTTTAAAATAAACAAAATACATAATGCAGGTAAGAAAAATGACTCCTTTATGAGCCACTACAGAAAAAGTGTTTCTGTGACCTACTGTAGGTTCCAAGTACTGTGATTTATTTGATCTTCTACAATTTTCTACATATATTATATAAAAGGTAATCAAAAATTATATTAAAACCTATATTCATACATAAATGAGACTCTTGGGATCACAATACCAAAAGACAAATACCTGATGTCATCGCTTACTACACTCATTATCAAAAACAATCCATAAAAGAGAGAAAATGATGGTGGAATAGTGAGGTGGGGTTTACAGACTACTCAAGCTGTGGGCCTGCATTATGAAGGAGAAGAAGCTGATACCTGGAGAAGTTTCCATCGCATGTTAAGGTCATCCAGCTGTCGAGACATCTTTAGAGATGGATGCAGATCCAGAGGAGAGAGCTGGCTGGACAGATCATTCACTGCTTTAACTTTTAAGTTGATTGGTGCAATTTCTTCTCTAAATGCCTAGGAAAAAACCAACAAAACAATACATATGTCACTGGGGAAGAATGCAACAAAAACTAGTATTTCAAACTTTCTGACAAAGACCAGGGCAAGACCAGTTCAAAGGCCATCGACCAGCACTGCTCACATCACAACAGCTGACTTAGCCAGCTCTTCAGTACCTTGGATGACTAGCCAGAGTCCCCCTTCATAACTACAGCATCTGCATAGGTGTGCAAGGAGAAAAGTTATAAGGCAAAAATCACTTACATTGTTGTGTACTTCCTTCATATTTTACTATATGTAAATTAGTCTGGGAAAAGTGTGCTGTTATTGACCACTTTACTGATTGGTAGTCTTGATTCTCTTTAATTTTCTTTCATATTTTCTCCTTACTATTTTAATATAGTTACCTTCATACTTTTTTTTTTCACTTGATGCAACAACTTGATTTGAGTATTTTTCCATTTAAAATTAAGACAGAAGGCAGCCAGTGCAAACAATCCTCCTAACCACAAACCTATGGCTGTTCTCCACTGAAGAGGGGAGCGCTGTCCCTTTCAGCATCACGTATGATCACTATCAAGGATGAGGGGTAGTGCCGGAAGAACAGAGCTTAGAGAAAAAGAGGTAAGTGGGTCTTAAAACCAACAAATGCCAAGTGTGAGCAAAGTACAGAGAGCTATTAAGAGTGCGAAGTCAGGGATGTTATGTAAAGAGGGAGGACAGAATAAATACTTTAAACCAGTAACATTTCTATGAGAGCAAACAGAATGAGGGCAACAGTAATTCTCCTCCACTCTCCACATTACTCTACCTGCCTCTATCTTTATGTCCCCTGTTCTCAACAAGGCCTTTGTCGAGATGCTATGGACTTTTTAAAAGACTCAGCTTTGGTCTCCTTCCCCTCAGGAAGATTTCCTTGAGGCCTCTTCCTCTACAGCACTGGCTACAGGTCCCTTGCCTGTGCCCTTTGGATATTCTCTCTCCAACTCAGCCAATACACTCTGAACATACAAATCCCGGGTTAACATGGGGCCATTCTGGTTGTCTGGAGCCATACCAAACCACTTGTTAAATATTTTAACTATCAGAACTATCAGACCACTTAGTACTTGGTATTATGAGCATCCATATTCTAGTTGTCCCTAAGAAAGAGTGGAAGCTTGTTGAGAACAGACACTCTTCCGGATTCAGCACAAGGCTCGCTATATATATATATATATATATATATATATATATATATATATATATATATATATACACACACATCTCTATTGACAGAGGCCCATAAAAATATTTAAGACAAGATTAAGGCAATACAGAATGGTGAAAAGAGTTGGAATACTAAGACATAACAGCATATTTTTAATTAAGTCTGACACAAAATTTTAGTTAATCATATGCCAAATGTAACTTACAGATGGCAGGTATTATACACATCCTATTAGCACTAACCTCACATTTTATCATTCCTACATCCCCCTCTCCTTTAGAGACTAAGTACATATCATCTATGAGCCCCTTTCTTTTACCAGTCTAAGTTTAATAAAATAATATCTATCAGAGTGCTCTGGAAAATACAAAGACCTCGTAAAAGTGCAGCATTAAAGTTCTTTCTAATGCTTATAAAAAGAAGATTTCTTTAGGCACTTCCCCCTTTTCTTCTCTTTTCCAAATTTATCTAGGTAACATGGCAAGCATGGCAGAATAAGCCACCGAAACACATGCTACTATTGCATAAAGATTATCTTGAGCTGAAGACACTTAAAAAATTAAGCAGGCAGGCTGGGGATTTAGCTCAGTGGTTTCGCCGCCTGCTGCACAAGCCCAAGGACCCAAGTTCGATCCCCGGTGCCAAAAAAAAAAAAAAAATTAAGCAGGTACAAAAAGTGTACACCACCCTCCTAAGTTTCTCTCTGAAAGAGATAAAACCATTGAAAAAATGCCCTTCCTGCACCAGGAGGAAAATAGCCTTTTTATCATCAATGATGGAACAAAGTTCTATATAGGCTTTGTTAAAATAATTATCTTCTTTTAGTCTCTCCACATAATTGAGTTAATTTTCCAAACTGTCTTTCTTTGTCCTATGTAATATAAAATTATGTAAAAGATTTGGCTCTTTTTTGTGCCTTCATTTCTTTATAGGGATTCCCGTCTTAAATAAAAACTGATATGAATGAAATGTCTATGCAGTTCTCCTCTCTTTCTGTCTGAAGTCAGTTTAATTTTCAAGTCCAGATGATAAACCCTCTAAGAAGGTAGAAGTAAAATTTTCCCTGTCTAACATATACATAAGCTAAAATCCATCATGGTTGATAAACCTCAAAGTAATGTTAAGGAATCAACTTTATTTTCAAAATATTTAAAGTATATCAGGCAATATGTTTTAGTGTTTCAAAATTCTTGAACATGCCTAAAAACCACAGGAAAAAGTCCAGGGTAGAGGTGACCAGAAATCATAGAACAGGTCTGGAGCCATAATCAGTGTGAGAAACAGAGACACTGGAGGTAGCAGTACATAAATGACATTCGGAACTACTATGAAAGTCAATATGCATAAAGTGGGAAATATTGCCAGAGCCCTGAAGATGCCAACATATCAAAAGCCAGGAGAAGGAAAGTTCAAAAAGGAATGTGAATGGCCGCTATATGGAAGGAGAAGGAACTGAAGTTCGTACTAGTTTTTTCTCCATTCCTGCTGGTGGTTGCTTTTTGGATAAGGGAATATGCACACACAACTGCATGCACGGATACAGTTAAAGAAGAAACACAGCTGTGCAGCAGAGGCCGCATGGGTATAAAGGATTAGCTATTAATATAGGAGCATAGGACAGAGGGAAGTGTGGTTTAGGGTGTGGAAAGAGAATCTTTCAGTCTAGTCTTGGAGTCTCTTCAGTCATGGTTTTAACCTTTTTATACTAATATTTTCTCTATGGTCACAGGCAGGACTTTAAATTCTTAAAGAACAATAAAGGAGCTTACATTTTTCCTCTGTAAAAATAATGTTTTTCTACTATAAGCCATAGGTGAAAGCATTAAAAGAGCTTTGACAAACAATGTCTTTGGGGCTTTGTTTCTATTTTTATGGTCAGGTGCTTTATGGCAATGAGGAATCTTTCCATCAAGAAAGTTTACTTTGGTTTTTTAAGAGCTTCCAAAGGTAGGGGCTTGAAATAAAATAAATTTTAAATAGTTTCAGAACCGCCATGTGTTCTCGTATACAGAACCAATTTATCATGTTTTGACTGCACTTTTCTTTCAGAGGGTGAGTGTCTATGTGGCCTTCCTTGCTATAAAAACAGAAACATCTGCTGGCATCAAAGGTGCTAACTACAGACTATTGGCAGATGTGAATTTCAAACCTGTCTCCTCCCAGAAGGAGAAGTGCAGTCTGGAAATAAGAATGATTATGGGTAATTTTAGGGAGCTGAAATTATGTGATTACTCCCAAAGATTTTATTTTCCAGTTGCTTTGACATATTTAATAATGTTTAGCAATAATTAGTACCTGATTTTATCTATCAATAGCTTCATTAGGATTTGGGGTATACTGTACAGCACCTGTAAAACAGCCTAGAATTTGAATGTATCTTATTTGGCTTAATGAGACCTGGGTTTCTATTTTCTCTTTTCTTAATAAGATGTTAAGATATTTTAATCCACAGTTTATCCTTTCAATTAAAATATTAATTTTATTTTTTCTAGATTTCCACTTAAGCAGAGATTTGAACAAAAGGATTTGGATGCAGAGATGAGTAATTCCTTTAATCAAATGAGATGAACAACTCTCAAATTTGGAGAGGCTTTAGTAATTCCAGATACAATTTTTCATTTTTTTCTCCAACACAAATCAACTTGTATTAAAATAATACTTTCCAATTCAAATAGATAAATTTTTGCATTTTTACTGTTCCCAAACCACCGGCTTTTTGTAAACCACTGACTTAAAGAATTTCTGCGTTTAGAACCATCTGTAAACTAAAAGAAGTGTTCAATTTCTACAGAAACTATGCTAATGGCTATGTTCTCAGTAGGTTATTTTAAACTCATAATCATCCAAGGGAAATGCTTGTTGGTATACTAAGGTTGTGAGAAAAGGCCTACTTAAATCATAAGGTAGCTGATACTTATACACATCTACACTACAAAGTAGCAAACATCAGTACTCTTTCAGTAATAAATTTTGTGAAGTTTAAAATTTGGTATTTAAACTTTGTAGAGTATTGAACTCAAATAATGGATAGAAGTTGTATTTAATTGCATTAGTACAAAAGATCTCTGCAGGAAAAGAGAAGAACATACATAAAAAATCATAAAAACTCTACATATTAACTTGCTGTGCAGTCTTGAGCAATTATCTTCAGTTTTATTATTTGTAAAACAGACATAATAGTAGTAATACCTATCTTTTTAGGTTAGTGTGAGGATTAAAAGAAATATGCATGCAAACTGGCTAAGAACAGTTCTTGGCACATAGTAAACAGACTTTAATAGCTATTATTATACCTATGTCTACACATACATATATTTGCTTATATAATTAGGCTAAGTATCTAGCTAATTTCTCAGATCTTTCTCCTCTTCTGTCGCATGAATAAAGAGGAAGAATATTGTCCAATGCCTATATGCAAACAATGTATACTTATGCAATAAAAATTCCAGGTGATAGTCATACTAATAACTTCTAATTTTTCATTGTCATATTCTTGAATTTGCTTCATGACTCCCTAATATACAGTTTAATATGCTGTTTCAAGCCCTTCCATTCTCTATGTATGTTCTTTGTGCCTCTTTTTTGTTTGACTTTCATAAAGATTTTTCTGGAAATGTTCTAGAATATGGGAACAAAAAAGATAGATATTCTTTATGGTATTAATGTACTCAGACATAAATTAAATTTATAGTGACCATTCCAGTAAAACAGTATGCTTCTGACTAAATCTCTTAAGTCCAACTGGCATGTAGATATAATCTGTAAAACCTAAACAGTGGAAAATGCTACAAACAAATATTTCAGTTTATTCAAAAGAGAAATTGGAAGCAAAAGAAAGAAAGGATTGAGGGTAAGTCTGTACAATAAAAGCGGTTTAAAAATATTTCTGTAAAAAATAGTTAAACAGTGTTCATTGTTTAGGCATGTGCAGTTGGGTAAGAAAAGTATCAAAAAAAGGTATTAAATTATCATAAAAGTCATCTAGGAGTTATTAAAGGAGGGGATTCTGGCTATGAAGGACTTACAGAAAACATCCACCCTGACTACTGACTTGGGTGGGGGATTTCAGGGGTGATGGCTCTAGACTAGTACTTATTAACAATTTATATATATGGCTCTCTTCATTTGTGTTTTATTTATGGGTACCAGGGATCGAACTTGGGACCTTACTCTTGTGAGGCAGGTGGCAGAACTACTGAGCTAAATCCCTGGCCCCATTTGTGTTATATTTAACAATAAAACATTCCTTTAAATTCCTTTGTCAAAGGCAACAATGCTGACTGTTACTTTTTTTTTGATATAGTATTTTTAATAGAAAGACAGGGCAATATGGCAGTTAATAGCAACCGATACTGTAAACTACAGTAGATACAAAGTTTTATATAAATGAATTGCCATTTTAAAAAGGCAACTGCTATAGCTAAGAAGGTACATATCTAGATATCTCCTAAAGCCTCAGGCGATCATAGGCAGACCAATTAAAGATGGTTAGATTATAGGGGCATTACCCCTGACTGCTCTTAGGAGGTGGGGTCTGGGCGGAAGAGGCGGGTACGTGGGGGCGTGGCCGGGAAGGGTTTATCTCTCTTTCCAGCTCCTCCCTTCACTCTCTCTGCTTCCTGTCTGGCAGGCCTTGAACAGCTCTCCTCTCCCAGGCCCCTTTGCCATGTGTCCTGCCTTACAGTGAGCAGACTGTAAACTAAAACGTGAGCCACAATTTCCCAGCATCAAGAAAGATGCCTAAGACACTGACCAGGGTCTTTTCGATGTGATCCTGCAGCGAGTCGATGAGCAAGTCCCCCACGGGCTTCCAGCCGTTGCGCACGGCCTCTGCCTCCTTCAGGTCAGCATCCAGATCATCCATGGCACCTTGCAGGTCCCGGAGTTTCTCCAATGCTTTGTCTACTTGCTTTTGCCAATTGCTAGTAACAGCATTGAGGCTTTCCCACTTCTCCTTGACTTCAGAAGACTGTTTGCGCATGGCCTTGGCAATCTTTTGGGCCCTCTCTTCAGGAGTCAATTCTGCAATTTAAAAAATGAATGAATGAATGAATGAATGAGAGGATGGATGGATGGGATTATGTGGATGTCTGATCAGTTGTACATTCTCTACAGGCAAGTGTAAAATCAGCTTAGAAGAACTGGTGCCAGAGAAACAATTACAGTGGTCAGAAGAAGGAAAATTCTCTCCACACTTCAACCACTAATTCACAGCTACATGTAAACATGCACTCAACAGGAGAAGAAAGTAGCTACTCTGATTAAAAAAAGACAAGGTGTCTCCCATGGATTCTGAATTTTAATATATGTGTAAACCTTGAAATGTAACAAGATAACTCAAGAACTGAATCCATTTTTTTTCACCGTAAATTCAGTTATATGAAATCCAAAGACAGGTTTCATTTCATTGTTTTCAAGAGAAATTGGAAGTATAATTAGCAGAGAGTAGCTGTAAGTTATGAAGAAAAGCTCTCAGAAAATAAGATTATTTTATTTCTAAAAAGAATTAATTAAAGACAAATCATGTGTCTTAGATACTTTATCATCCTTAAGTCTGCTTGGTGGTTCATTGCATTTTCTGCAGACCGGAAGTATAAAAAATGCACAGACATTTCAACAGGAAGACAGCAAATTATAGGGACCACTTTAAACATATACGGATCAAGAGAGCTTCAGAATGTCAAAATTAAACTGAGACTTCCAGAAAGAAAGGGTAGGCAAAATGCAAGGCCAGGCCATAGGACACAGGTGGAAAGAATGAAAATCCAAAAGATAAGCCAAAATATAGAGAGACATCAAAATCATGTCCAAGGCCAAGGGTCAGAAACATAGAGGTGGAGAGCTCAACTCCAAGGGGGTAAAGAATACACCAAAGCATCACTCTCAAAGTGGGTTGGAAAGCTGTCCACTACAGACATTCCTCATATAATGACTGAGTTCTGGTCCTGCAACTAGGTTGTTAATTGAGTTGGTCGGCAAATGAGGAAATGTTTATGGTATGTACATTATAAGATTCAGAACAAAGAAATGGTCAAAGGAAACTACAACTTGATGAGTTTGCTTTTATTTGCATAACTCTTATATGCAGTACTGTAATGTATAACATAAAACTATAGTACCATACAATCAGCAAAAATTACAGTACTGTATTAAATCAGGTGTACTATACAAAAAAAGACAGTGAGGCTCTATAAACAAAATTTATAGAACTGTACCAAAAAAAAAGATGCATCGTAAGTCCGAGGGGCAGGTCATAAGTCCAAACAATTGTTGAACAGGTAAGTTGTTCAATGAATACCTATATAGCTAAACACTCCTAGGCCCTTAGCACCCTCTACACCTCAAGATACGCTTTCCTGGGCTGGGGATTTAGCTCAGTGGTTCTGGCACCTGCCGCTCAAGCACAAGGTCCCGAGTTCGATCCCTGGTACCAAAAAAAACCCCAAAAAAAACAAGATACGCTTTACTATGTTTGATAGTATCCTGATTGTTTATTGGAAACAGAGGCAAGTCAGAAACACAATCAAGGTAAAGTGTAGATTAATTTAAAAATTAATTAATTTAAATGCATACAGATTCTTATTGACTTACGAAAGATTATGTCTCTTCAACCCATCCTCAACTGAAAATACGTCAAAAAGACATTTAAGACACGTACTGAGCATCGTAGCTTCACTTAGCCTACAGTGTGCTTGGAAGACTTACATTGGCCCTTGATCAGGCAAAATTATCTAAGATAAAACTTATTTTACAATGAAATGAATATCTCACATAATTTATTGAATACTATACTGAAAGTAAAAACCATAACAGTTGTATGAGTATGCCTCCCCACTATTGAAAGTTGAAAAAAAAATCTTAAAATGAACCACTGTAAGTTAGGGACCATTATATATTTTGTAAGACACATTTCATCTTTTACTATCAATCACATTAGCAATTTCTACTTCATTTCAAGATGTTGCAAAATCACAGATAAAATGAACCAAAGTTCATCAAACTTCAGGGGAAAGTGACCTTCTTAATAAGCTGAGCTGGAGGAAGCACACCTAAACAATACTTTTCATCCTCAACATGAATTTACCTGCCCTGCTTTATCGGAATAATATTCAACACTGAATTAAAGGAGATGGGCCACATATAGCATCAATCTAAAATTTCAGAAATTTCTAGACGTTGATATTTCAATTTAAAAGCAGTTTAGAGTACCAGAACCTGGAAGGAAGCTCCCCGCCTCCATCCCAGGCTCCTAGGGCAGAGAAGCTCAGCTGGTCCCAGCACCCTGAAGGAAGCTCCCTGCCTCCATCCCAGGCTCCTAGGGCAGAGAAGCTCAGC